AATTTTCGACACATTGACCTTCTCAACCCCTTTTATTTCAATTTTATCTCTTTTCCCTTTGTTAATTTAACTATTCGCCTCGCGCGTCAAGAGTTTAATTTTCGACCATTTTTCGGTATATTGAAAGAAATTAACTAACTTTTTTACTTTTCCGTGTAGTATATACAATTTTTCACTTAAGTGTCGTTGAAGGTGGTGGTTATTTACCTCCACTTCGGTGTATAGTTGTTAATTACTTTCTTTGTACCATACGCGTCAAATGGCCACCTTAACTTGAGCGTACATCTTTTTGAGTAAAGCTCAAAACAGAATGGTAAATGTTTGTGTTCGAAAAGTCTTGAGTTTTCCTTTTTTGTTTCCTTTAACAGAATTCCACGAAAGTCTCAATTTTCTTGAGCATAATTTATTCTGAGACAGAGGGTTTTTCCTATGTTTTCCTCAGACATTTTGCGAGGGAAATTGGCGCGTATCCCCTGCGCTTGACCGCCGTGTTGTACACAGCTGGCCAAAACTGTGATCCACTGACGCATGCTTGACGCTTGACTACCGCGTTACTTGCCAGCACCACTTGATTCATTGCAGTAGAAAGTTCACGAAAATAGGGACGACGGAATATACTTAGGGGGTGACGGTAAAGCAATTACAGGAGATTGGGGCTAAGTTAAACCGATGCGAGAAGTTCGTAAAATCCAAATTCATTTTCTCTAAGACTATGGAGTGTCTGCGTTTTATTGTGAGAATTTTTAGCGCTCACATGAACAACACGCCTAAAGTGACGTTAGAGGTAAATATATGTGGCGAGGTCATCTTTGTTTTGCATTCTTTTGTCTTTTGATATTAGTTAGAATCGCTAGTATTCGTTCGATATCCAGCAGGATTTTATCAAGGAAGTTATGTAATGTTTTTCGGCACTTGTTTGTCACTCACAGTTTCGAGGTCACTCAATTTACTCATAATAGAAGTGGCTTCTCCTGTTTAAGATAGCTCCGTTGTAAGACCTTAAATCGAATACTCTTGGGTTGCAAAGAATTGCGTTTTACTGGCTTTTCGATATCATCAGTGTGTTCATGTATCAGCACGGTGCCTTAGGGCTTGCATACTTGGGAGTCAGCACGCATATAAAGTATTCTGTATGGTTCGATACGATAGCAACGTACAGTGATTGGTTGCCACAAAGAAAATTTTTATCACAACAGATAATAGATTCCAATATAACTCTTAGGCAAAAAGGAAGCTCAAGGCTTCATGCTGAATTTCGAGACTCTACCTCGCCTCTTCACCTCCCGTCTAACTTGATACTGAAGACATGGATATCAAAACATTGCTAGATAATCTTCGAGAAGAAGTGTCTTGTCCAGTGTGTACTAACATCTACA